AAAAAGTAAAAAATAAAATTGCAATGTAATCTAGCAATTCTCCTCGTGTCTACCCAAGAGAATTGAAAACATGTCCATACAAAAACTTGTACACTCATGTTTGTAGCAGCATGGTTTAATAGCTAAATAGCCAAAAAGTGGTAACTACTCTTATCTATGATCTGATGGATGACTAAATAGAATCTGGTCTATTCATGCAATGGAATATTATTCAGCAACATAAAGGAATGAAGTGTTGGTACATGCTCCAACATGAGCCTTGAAAACATAATGCCAAGTAAAAGAAGCCCATCACAAAAGACTGTATTGTGATGCATTTATATGAAATGTCCCAAAGAGGCAAATCTATAGACACAGAAAGTACATTCATGGTTGCCTAGAGATAGAGGGACTAGGGATGGGGGAATGAAGACTTACTGCTAATGGGTACCAGGTTTATTTTATTTTATGAGACAGAGTCTCATTCTGTCTCCCAGGCTGGAGTGCAGTGGCACGATCTTGGCTCAATGCAACCTCCATCTCCCAGGTTAAAGCTATTCTTCCGCCTCAGCCTCTCAAGTAGCTGAAACTACAGGTATGTGTCACCATGCCCAGCTAATTTTTTGTATTTTCAGTAGGGACAGGGTTTCACCATGTCAATCAGGCTGGTCTCAAACTTCTGACCTCAAGTGATCCAACTGTCCCAAAGTCCTGGGACTATAGGCGTGAGCCACCACACCCAGCTACCAAGTTTATTTTAGGGAGGTTAAATCCTAAAATTAGATTGTGGTGATGGTTGCATAACCCTGTGAATATACTAAAAAACATTGTTATATACTCTCAGTGGATAAATTTTATATAGGAAAGTCATCTCAATAAAGCTGTCATTTAAAAAAACTCTATCATGAGCAGGTCTAGGCTGATAATCTGATGAGGCAAATGCGTATTTCTTTGGCTAGCCCTCTTAGTTGGGTTCATAGGATGGTAAGTCTGTAGCCAGGTTGCAGGCACTTTCTGCTGGGTTCCAAGGCCTTCTCTAAGGAATACCAGCCTTATTACACCACTGAAAATTCCCCTTCCAGTCCTCTCCAAAACATTATTTTACTGATAACAAGACATTAAGGTTTTACAAGTCACATGCTGTTTTCCTCTCAATGCAGGTAGAAGACATGCTGGAAATGTCCTTGGTGGCGCTTGGGAATATTGGGGAAGCATTTCTAGAGCAGAAGCAGCCTCCCGAGTCTTCCGTGACTTTGACCTCTTCTATTGCTTCTCTGCTGCTGAGCAGGTTAACAAGGGAGGAAGGAACGGGACGAGTTTCACTGTTTTTCACTTTCAGAGGCCATAGAAAAATTGACTTCCTTTTTCACTTGTTTCTCATTAGACAAAACCTATCAACTTTACCTCTGAGCTCTTACACACTGGGTCACCCGGCCCCTGTGAGGCTAGGCTTTCCATCGGCTTCAGCTTTGAAGGAGCTCTTGAATAAACACCCCGGAGTTAATGTCCAAGTGAGTGTGAAATTGATTGTGATCGGAATGAAAATGGGATCTTATGGCCATGTAGGCATTGGGGCGAAAGTAATGTACCATGAAAGGTAAGCTGAATGGACTAGATCAGATGAGAGAGTTTATGTGGCATTTGTTTTTATTTCACACTGGCAGGGATAGAGACCTCTTAAAAATGATCCACTGTAGAAGTTGGGAGCATTAAACAGATTTCTGGATTTAATTAGATTTCTAGGTTCTGATTTGAATTGATCTCAACTCTGCAGTTTGTTTTTCGTTGTTGTTGTTTTGAGACAGAGTCTCAATCTGTCACCCAGGCTGGCGTGCAGTAGCACGATCTCAGCTCACTGCAGTCTCTGCCTTCTGAGTTCAAGTGCTTCTCCTGCCCTAACCTCCTGAGTAGCTGGGATTACAGTCGTGGCCCACCACGCCCAGCTAATTTTTGTATTTTTAGTAGAGATGTGGTCTCACCAAGTTGGCCAGGCTGGTCTCAAACTCCTGACCTCAGGTGATCTGCCTGCCTCAGCCTCCCATAGTGCTGGGATTACAGGTGTGAGCCACTGTACCCAACCTCTGCACTATTTAAAAAAAAGCTGGGACTATCTAAGTAATTGTTGACTAAGTATACCAACCTACTGATATCAATATATTTCTTTCAGTAATTACCTGACAAATACAGGTAGCATCGTTTCCTTATCCTGAAGAGCAAAATAGTTAATTCCTAGTAAAACAGAATCCTCTAGATACAAAGAAGAAAAATAATAATTCTGGGGGCCCCAGGTATAATTCATCTTTAATTAACTATTTGTCATAGAGATTATAATGTAGAATGTTATTTGTAGTATTAGTAGGGGTAACATCCCAACATTTACTTTAATACATGATATCCAGCTGGACATGATGGCTCACTCCTGTAATCCTAACACTTTGGGAGGCTGAAGCAGGAGGATCCCTCAAGGCCCGGAGTTTGAGACCAGCCTGACCAGCATAAGGAAACCCCATCTCTACTAAAAATACAAACATTAGCCAGGCATGGTGGCACATGCCTGTAGTCCCAGCTACTTGGAAGGCTGAGGCAGGAGACTCACTTGAACCTGGGAGGCAGAGGTTGCAGTGAGCTGTGATCATGCCACTGTACTCCAGCCTGGTTGACAGTGTGACTCTTTCTCTAAAAA